GTGTTAGGTCAATTAGGATCCCGTCCCCTACTAGAATAATATAGATATAAAAGAGTATAGTCACTACCGACCGCGGTAGTATTCTATATCGCCCCCTACTATTATGAGTCGTGAGAGGTCTCTCGCGACGCCGTCGCCTACGGCCGCGAGGTCACGCTCCCACCTCGGTAGCCTCGATCGTCTAACCTCCGCCGTTCTATCCTATATCGACTCTTCCCTTACCTAACGAGAGGAGGACCCGCCGGCACAGTATCCCCCAGACGATACTATAGAGCTTAAGTATATTCGGTGACTACTAAGCAACCGACTATAGAAGCTCGTGGGCGAGCTTCGAGAGCCGTCGGTCACTCGTTAACTGCGCACCCTAGAGTTTAGGGTCCACGCCCTAGGTCTTCTAGAGGTAGGCCCGTAGCGGAGGGGTCTAGAACGCGGCCTTAATGATGAAGCCGAGCGTACCTGAGAGAGTGTATATATCCGAGAACGGCCAGTCCCCCGGCGGGTAGGTCGTGTTTATCGGTTTGAGAGGGAAGAGATAGTTATAGTGGAGTCGGTAGCGACCGGGTAGTGATAGGAGAGCCCTCTTCTACCGTAGCTAGATCTGGTCGATCCGGTCCTAGACCGCGGACGGGCTCTCCCCCCGCGGGGCCGCCTCGTCGAGAGAGGCGAGCGCGATCCAATACGGACACTCTCGGGTATCGTGGGCGCACCTCGCGGGCGGGAGACCCGTTATTCAGTAGCGGTAGCAGAGAGGGCCCTTCGTCTAGATCTCCAGTACTAGGTCGACGATCTACGGGATTACGAGTCGCTCGAGGGGCGAGGCGACGACGCTTTCTAAAACGTGCGTATAGACGCTCCCCGGGTCACTACTCTAACCGCTACTCGCTAGACTCGGCCAGTTTATAGACGAGATCGAGGACGTAGAGCGGTCGGCCCCCCGGGAGGAGATAGACGAGGTCGTCGTGATAATCGAGAAGAGCGAGGAGAGGCGTAGCCCGGGGAGAGGTTACCGTAGCGCCCATAGGAGAGAGGACGAGGGCGTCTTAAGGGTAGTCGTCCCGTCGCGGTTAGCGGTCGGCCGCGTAGAGATAATAAAGTCGTCCCCCGACATAGCGAATAGTTAGGTCGCGCTCAAGGGCGCCGCCCGCGCGGCGGTCGTAGGCTAGAGGACCGACCCTTCATAGAGGTCACAGCGTTAGTCCTCCCCCCGATAGCGCTCGTATAGCCGCTCGTCGAGATAGTCCACGAGGGTCTACCGCCGATAGACCGTATGGAGGATTAGGTCGTAGAGCGCCCGCCGGCCGGGTACCGCCGCGCCCGTACTGGAGTCGATAGTCGTCGCCGTGCGCGCTAGCCGCTATTAATCCCGAGGAGTGACGAGAAGCGTATAGCGGCCGAGCTTACCCGGCTACCGGTAGAGTCGCCCCGCCTACTAGGCGACCGTAACCGCGTCGAAACCGCCCCCGACGATCACGATATGATCCATCTCCGCGTCCTATCCGTAACCGAGGGCGATAGTCGCGAGGAGAGTGGCGATATCGGCCCCGGTAAAGTCGCTTAGTAGGGCCGTCCGCGCGGAGACGTCGAGGTCCCCCTAGTAGAAGAGTAGCTCTAGCGCCCTAGCGACCGCGTGGCCCTCGCTCTTCAACATCATATACACGAGCGTATAAGCGGCCGGCCTCTCTAGGATCTCGCGCCGGAGGTAGGCGGTGAGCCCGCCCTCGTCGTAGTGGTGGACCTCCTACCGGATCCCCGGGACGTTATACGACTAGCGCACCGTATAGAGTCGGGTCGGGTCGATCTAAGCCGCCGCGAAGAGGGGGGCCTGGATATCAGCCGGGACCGTCGCGGAGAGGAAGACGCGAGAGACCCCGAGGGGGTAGGCCTTAACGACGTCCAGCTAGGGGCGAAACCCGCCTTAGGCCTCGAGGACCACTAGGTGCGCTTCGTCGTAGATGACCTAGGCGAGGCGACCGTAGCTCGCGAGATGTCCCACGAGCACGCGGAACTGCAGGTCGCTAACCCAGGTCTCCAGGACGATAATTAGGACGTCGACGACCCGTCACGTGTGGCCCGGCGCGCTCACCGAGTCCATATCGATCCCCCGCCCCCGGAGGCGGGCCACTAGCTAGTCGCGGATACTATAGTAGGGGACGATAACTATCGTAGTCTTCCCCGGCCGTAGAACGGCGGCGAGTTCGATAACTATCGTCTTCCCGGCCCCGGTAGGGAGCTAGACTAAGAGGTCGGTCCCTAAGGGCCGGTATATTAGGCTCTCGACCGCCTACTACTAGGCGAGCGACCGCTAGTGGAAGGAGGGGTACTAGGCGCTAAGTTTCGTCCGGATAAATCCCTATCGGTCGCGGGTCGGGGTCGTAAGAGTCGGCTCCCCGAGAGAGTCTCGAGGCCCGCGCGAGAGCGGAGGGGTAGCGCGACGGAGACGCTTCACTAGGGCTCCCCTATCCTCGTCCGCCGTCTTCTCCTCTTCTATCTTCGTATCGTCGTTAATCGCGTCCCGTTCGCGCTTAAGAGAGGCGATATCGTGACGGATCTCCTGGAGGAGGTCGCGTACCGTGCCCGTCTAGTTAGACGGGTATCGCGTTTCTCTCGCCCGGGCTCCGCGTTTTAGGTCGCTATCGAGACTCGCTACGAGGAGGTCCGGGTCCGCGACCCCGAGCTAGCGGTACTAGGCGAGCGAGGTGCGAAGGAAGGCGTAGGCTACGGCGTCGGTAAACTAGTGGAGAACGTCCACACTGAGAGTATAGTGATAGGTCTCCACCTCCCGAGTGTAGCCGGTCTAGAGCGTTAGGTTATCGGCCTCGATCCGCGCGCTCTTCTCGTCCTTACTCTCGGCCGCCGCGTCGGGGTTGTCGTCGTCTTAACCCTCCTCCGCCCGCCCGCGCGTCACGTTCTGAAGGAGCGCGACGTGGACCTGGCGGAGGACGCGGACCCCGAACGACGTCTCTAGGTGACGTTAGGTCGAGATCTAGAGGAGGGGGGTAAAGTATTCGGCCGTCTACGGCCGGCCGTCCGTATACTAGACTAGGGCGGTCCAGGCGTGGGGGTCGGATATCTTATAGAGCTCGTAGAGGAGACGATAGAAAGGTAGGACCTCGGCGATATAGGCCATCATAATCCGCCCGATCCGTCGCGGGTAGGACCGACCGATTATGCGCGGGCGCTTCGTCCGCGCCTCCGCCTTATTAGCGTCGCAGAGGAAGAGTAGGTGTCGCGCCTTAATATAGAAGGATCGCATCGCCTCCTAGGTGTTAGCCTAGAGGCCGAGATCAGCTCTAGGACGCGCGGCTTCCTACCCCCCGCGAGGAGAAAGAGGAGGCCGAAGTGACGTAGGAACTCACCCCGACTGGCGCGGAAGCGGACGAGGGCCTGCTGCCGCGCCGCCAGCGGTCGACGCTAGAGCTCGTACTAGCGTAGGGCGAGGTCCTCGCGCGCGCGGCGGATGGCGTCCTCTAGCCGCGCGCCCAGGCAGTCCAGGTTCTGGTCGACTATCGACCCTCCGTTAGTCTATCAGATTAGGTTGTCGGTCAGGTAGGCCGGGTCTAGGGCGTCGAGCTCGGTCGCGGCGGCGCCCCCGAGGAGGTCGCGCAGGAGGATCTCCTCGGTCTCGTCAATCAGGGTGTGGACCTAGGCGCGGATGTCGGCGACGGCGATCCGCTAGTCCTCGTACCATAGATAAGTTCGGTCCGGCTCCCAGTGGATAGTGGGGCGACTATAGAAGTGACGGGCGACCCCCATAGCGTACGTACGCTAGCTAAACACCTCGTTAAATACGCGCGGTCGGCTTAGGTAGAGATACTCGGCGTAGTACCGCTAGAGGAGGGCGGTGACGTCCGGCGCGTCGCCGTCCGCCTGGCGAAAGATATACTCTAGCGCCAGTACGCGAACGACGAAGATCATCTTGCTTAGGATAGGGCTGTGCGCCTCGGCCGTCTTCCAGATGTAGGTCGAGACGCTCTACCCTTTAATCGCGAGGAAGTAGAGGAGGGGGCTCGTCTCGCGGCCCTAGCTCACTATCTGTTCGAGGACGAGACGCGAGGCGAGTAGGATCTAGTCGCCCGCGGCGGTACGGGGGGGGTCCGTCGTCTCCTCCGAGGAAGGAGGCGGCGACGGTAGCTAGGCGAGCCGCTCGAGGACCTTCTGGAGGGCGGGAGGCAGTACGATCCGAAACTGACGATGTCGCTCGTCGTCCTAGAGGGCCACCCGAACGAGGAAGAGGACGAACTTCTCCTAGACGATCGAGTAATACTAGATCCCGGTCTAGAGGCGGCTTAGGAGGACGTAACCGGTCTCGCCCTCTATCGCGTAGAGGGCGCGACGGAGGAGGTTCCCGCCGGCCTACGTGTAGATAGTCGCGAGCCGCTAGTCGCACTAATCGAGGAGAGTCTGTACCTTATCGCGGAGTACGGCTACCGGGAAGATATCGTTCGGGCCCGGCGTGAGACTAATAAGTAGCTAGAGGACAGCCTAGTCCAGATCGCTAAAGGTCGCGGCCCAGCCCGTCCGCTACTTCTAGAGACTCTCGCGCCCGTTGACGGGCGGTCGCACGATCGACCGTTCCTCCTAGTGGCGTTAGGCTTATTATATTAAGCGGTCGAGAGCCACCTAAAGAGGCCGCTCCTACTCCTCGGTCGCCTTCGAGGCGACGCGGAGAGCGGCGGTCGGCGACCGCTCGACAACGAAGAGATAGCGAAGGGGTCCCTAGAGATAGGATACGTAATACGCCTAGGGCTTGAGAGTAAGGGTCGGGTAGCGCTCCTTAATCTCTCGCCGGACGATAGCGTCGTTCGAACTAACGGTGTACCCGTCGTGCGGGTAACGGAAGCCGGGGAGATAGAGGAGGTACTCGTAATAGTCTCGCGCCTTCGCGGTCGCCTCCCCGTTATTATCGCCGACTACGAGATACTATCGCTAGGTAAACTCGCGATAGATAACCCGACGGTCCTTAACCGTAGTCAGGCCGGCGTAATAGATATATAGATGATTTTCGATCGAGACCTACTCGGCCGAGACTCCCTTACGGTAGAGCGTATATATTACTATATTACGGGTCGGTTTATAGTAGAGGGGGTGTTCCCGCCTACTGGGGAGGCGTCTCTCCGGCATTAATATCGCGAGAGGAGAGAGAGAACGCGGATTAGAGAGAGCGACGATATCGAGAGGGGCGACTAATAGAGAGGAGGAGGGAGATACGACCGAGAGAGAGAAGAAGGGAGAGAGAGAAGACTATATTTATATACTCGGAGAGCTACTAGTCGGACTTAACGTATATATAAGAGGTTGATCTAGGACCGGGCTAAATAGACTATTTCCCTAACCGATATATCCACGCTACGAGGGGTCCTAGCGTTATAGATAGATAGTTATTTAAACCGTCCCGTAAGTCTAGTATTTCTCCAAAGGTGACTAGTTATCTACCACTCTCGAGAAGAGCTACTAGGCGAGACGTAGATCGTTCGACATTCTCGGGTCACGGACTCCATACCCAAGTTAGAGAGAGGGTCGACTAGGAGCGTAATAACCTAATACTCGCTAATATCTCGAGGAGCGAGAGAAGGTCGAGGACGTACGGACTACGAGAGCTGGACTACTCGTAGCGTAATTAGCGTAAGTCCTGAAAGACTACCCTAGGGGTAGTTTCCTATCGGGTTATATTAACTCGAGAGCCGCGTAAGAGTGAACGGGTCGAGTAGACTAGGGAGGAGAGAGACGGTCGTGAGACGTGAGGCGGTCTACCCGAGCGAGGTTAGGTTCCGTCGAGATTAAGGGCCTAATACGGTTAAGAGGGAGGCTAATATTATGAGCTCGTATCGTCCTTACTCTCAATACGAGAAGGAGGCCGATAGTAGAGCTTTTATAGTTCTCCGACTATCTATATCCGATCTAGCTCTTATTCTAGACGGCCGCGAGAGAAGGGCGAGGTATTTCCTATCGGTGCTCGGACTAGGGTGCGCGGATTGAGTTAGCTTAGCCTAGATAAGGTCGACACCGGAGGCGGATTAGAGAACCGATCGATTAGGGAAACGCCTAATGAGAATCTAGCGACGTATTACCACTTAGAAGCTCACTCCTCGTCTCTCGATCGACACCGTATTAATGGCCCCGATCCGTATAATAAGGAGTGAGAAGCGTAACGTGGGTAGGATCTCCCCCCTTATAATTTATCTATAATCTATAAATATACGACCGGAAGGCGAGCCTCCTTCTCAAGTGAAACTACGTCTAATTTCCTCGAGAGCGACTAGTTTAACGGCTAAAGCGTCGTAGGGTTAGCCCCCCTAGAGTCGCGCGTAACCTTCTCCATTCGGCTAGAAGTGGGTCTGACTTAGTGTTATTCCTAGTGGCAGTCCTCTTGATACCCCTTCGCTATTTCTACGTCTCCTATCTATCCCTCCGCGGCCGAGAGAATTAGAGACGGTATAACGGGCGTACCGGGGAAAGCTCCTATAACCAAATTATCTAGAATTATATCGTTTACGATCTAGAGCGGATATTAAATGGTTAATCTCTACCGTAGTGATAGGATACGGTGAGTCTCCGGGTAGTCGTTTACCCTCCGAGAGCGTATAGGATCTCGCCGGTGCTCGGATAGCTGATAGATCTCGTAGATTATTAAGGGGGGTAGTATCGCTAACGCTATCGTCTCTAGGTCAATAGATAGTATAGTCCACGACGCGGTCACTCCTCAACCCGAGACGCGAGAGACGAGACTATTACCCCGGATATAGCTCTAGATACGTAGCCCTCTCCCCACTCGGGAGACTCTCTTACGCGCGTCCGGTCGACACTTACTAACCGAGACTATCGTGGGATAGCGAAAGACCGAGAACTAGTCGCCTAACCTTACGAGAGTTCTCTAGACGCTAATGCTCGATTACGACTTCTTCTCCATTCGTCGCGAGGATACGGTATCCCGGTAAAAGCTCGAGACGGTTATCGAATATCTTAAACCCTACTTTGATATTCGGAAGTGGGACGCGGAGACGGAGTAGTATCTTCGCGAACGGGTTCGATCGAAGGTACGGCGAGTACGGACCGAGATGATAAAATAGGGGATTCTTATCCGGGGGCCGGCGAAGTACGCTATCGCCGACGTTAATCCGGTTAGATACGCTAGGCGACGACTCGAGGAGCTTATCCGGGTATTAGGGAGTCTTAGGAAAGAGGATAGGATCCGAGTATTTCGGGAGTGGCTAGCGGTCTGGGATACGCCGGAGCTCCTAGAAGGGATCTCCCTCGTTCTCGCGGAGTATCGATCTAACTAACCTAGAGATAACCCTAATTAATAATTATCGATATCCTATCGGATTCGGTTACGAGGTCTATATATGCCTATCCCTAGGTAGGTGTCTCTCTTCGATACGCCGTTGAGGATACGCTCTTAGTTATCTAAGTATCGAGAGCTTATATAGCCCCGTTATGACATTAGGAGATGAAAGGAGGGCTATTATACTAGTAGTTTAGTTACTCTAGTCCCGGTTTGATAACGGTATAGCTAGAACTACCCCTAATATCTAGTACGGTACCGTCTTATATAGTAAGAGCTAATCGCTTAGAGCTAGCCGGATAATATCGCTCTTATTAGCTAGTATACGACCGTAAGCCTTTCTAGTCGGCTATATATATCTATTTCCTTAAGAGGAGCGTGGCTAGGAACTTCAATCTGGGACGTTTAGGGACTCGGATTATATTTTAGGATGCTTATTTAATACTCTAACCTATAGAAGTCGACTTACACCTACGGTAGTTAAATCTCCCTCCTAACCTAATCTAGCGACTACTCTAGCCGATAGAGGTCGACTTATACCTACGGCGGTCCCATCTCGCTCCTAACGCGATCTAATCACGAATCTAGCCTGTTCAAAGTCGACTAGAGAGAGGTTTTATCTATCTTAATTTACCGTTACCGCTAGCGCACTTATAACTCACTAGGATTAGCTTATATCTCTTATTACTATATATACTTCTTCTACTCTCTTCCATTAAATTTACTCTTCCTTCTTACGCTCCTTCTCGCTAGTTCTATAGAGAACGTAGTCGCTAATGCGCTCTCGAGAAGACTTCCGATATAAGAGGATATCGTAGAGGCTAAAAGAGAGGAAGATATCGATAACTAGATCGAGATACGAATACTTAAGGTTCGAGGAAGTCTCCGGCCGATAAAATAGAATACTACCCGACGCGACTTCGTAATAGTGCGACTCGTAGTCATACGCGTAAGAGACCGATTAGCCGATCTAGAAGTGTCGCGTATAGTATAACTCTTTGAAAACGAGTACTCTAAACGGTCTAAATAGCTCGCGAAATACCTATAGGATTAGTAGAGATCTCGAGAGATAAATAACGTAGATTTTAAGTAGCTATAAAAAGACTCGATTTATCTCTTCGTACGCGGCGGACACTTACTTAGGAAGTTAATAGTAAACTATCTATCTCGAAGGGTCGTAGATAGCGACGTAGAGAAAAAGAGAATTCTCGAGGCACTATATGATAATATCGGTCACTTTAGATGAGAAGTTACGTATTAAAGAGTATCGGATAGGTATTTCTAGAAGGGTTAATATTAGGATATATAAGAATTTATTAGGACTTGTTCTAAATACTAATTCCGTAAAAGCCGAAGACCGGTATAACGGGATATACTTAACTATAGTGGATATACGGTAGGAATAA